AAAAAATGCTTTTAAAAGGCTCTGATGATCCCAGCTGAGTTGTCTGATTGTCAGAGGCTTTTTTTTCTACAACCTCTTCGAGATTGCCTGATCATCAGAGTTGCCTGATCGTCAGAGGCTTTTAACAGCATTTTTTCTACAACCTCTTTGGCCAAAGAGATTGTAGAAAAAATGCTTTTAAAAGGCTCTGACGATCCCAGCTGAGTTGCCTGATCGTCAGAGGCTTTTTTTTTTCCTTTTAAAAGCATTTTTTTTCTACAACCTCTTCGGGCAGGGATTTTTGCTACCGATACTCCAAACCACCCACCACCATCACTACCGGATCGGGCGATCCAGTCCGAACTGGGAGCATTTCACCCCTGATATGAAGAATGGTTGCAGGAATTGGGTATGGCTACTCTAGAGAAAAGAGGGACTAGGGGTGACATGATAGCAGTATACTAGTATTTGAGGGGCTACCACAAAGAAGAGGGGTCAACTTATTTTCCAAAGCACCAGAAGGCAAGACTAGAAACAATGGATGGAAATTAATCAAGGAGAGAAGCAACCTGGAATTAAAGAGATACTTCCTAACAGTGAGAACAATTAACCAGTGGAACAGCTTGCCTTCAGAAGTTGTGGGTGCTTCATCATTGGAGGTTTTTAAGAAGAGACTGGACAGCCACTTGTCTGAAATGGTGTAGAGTCTCCTATTTAAACATGGAGTTGGACTAGGTCCCTTCCAGCTCTATTCTGATTGAATAAATTGAATTGATTGAAAACAAACTCCATACAATATATAAAATTACCACATCTTTTTATTTTACATTGATAATGTTCACAAATGTACAGGAATAATACCGGAGAGGTTAAAAATACTGTTAGGTCTAAGTCAATAAACCTCAAATGCATTTTTGTAAAATTATGGGAACCGCTTTTCATCTATTATGGCAACCTCTGGTATGTTTTTTTCCAAATTTATTTACTGCTCTTCTCTGGAATTTACATAAATGGGTAGTGATCTGGTTTCTTTTTTAAAAAAAAATTGGAGGGGGGAAATAATGAAACTGCTTGTGCACAGCATTCTGACTTCAGCACTTTTTCACCCTTTTATATTAAGAACACACACATAATGCCCCGAAATAAGGGCTAATGGGATAATTAAATTAGGTATCATCATCATCATCACCACCACAAACTAAAACTTTCCCCCCATTTTTTTTCCACATTAAATTGCTCTCTAGGGTACTATTTCTAGATTAACTGTTGGTAATGAAAGCTTGTATTCTACAAGCTAAAGAGATATGCACAATTGACAAGATCTTTAATTTACTTCTGTAACTTACTTTAGGCATTTGGAAAATGATTTTTAGAAGTGCTAATGTTCAATAGAACAGAAAACTGGCAGTTCACAGCATCCATATGGCAGCTGCTTCCTTAATACTTTAAACATTCAAGCATTCGTGTCAATTGCCATTAGTATCAGTGTAATCACTTCTCTTTATTTATTGTTTAAAAACATAGAACTATTTTTGAACTACTGAGTAATCCTCTCAAATCATCTTCTACTGCTGCCTGATGTCCTCATTTTTTTCGAGCCTATCATCACCAGAGTTCGTTTCACCATGTACAGAATCAAATTGTCTCAAATACAAAGTTTGAACTCACAGACTGTTCTTTCTTATAGCAAGCATGTGACCAGCTAATCAGTACTGCCTCACTAATGTAAACTGAGTAAAAGGATCGAGTGAGGACAGTGAGAGATATAATGTCATGGCCTTAAATTGAGTAAAAGCCCTTTACATAGACTTAGAATTTCTTATTTTAAAGAAAGATAAAATACATGGCTCCACAGCTAAAATGAAGCATTGGCTAACCTACGGTCACCTTGATATAACAGAACTTCTTGATTTAAGCATAAAGACAATGATATAGTTAACTTAAATCAAACTAATATTAGACTGTTACCAGTTGAACTCAAGACACAAAAGACTGTAAGGCAAATCTTTTTTTAATGACCTGATGATGACCTATGCCAGGACTATGTGGATCATATACCTGCCCTAGTCTTTTTTGATGTCTTGGTGGCCTCTGATACTTTTGACTATGGTGTTTTTCTGCACTGGCTGCAGAGGCTTGGAACTGAAGGCACTTTTTTTTATAGTGGTTCTGTTCTTTGACTAGTTCTAGTCAGCAGTGATCAGAGAGAAGAAATCAGCACTGATACCCAGAAACATGCTGCAATCCTAGACAACACTGGAGATTCTGTCTTCTGATTCCTGGAAACTGTTGTTCTGGATGGGAGGAAAAAGACTTATACCGAATCCTAGTAAGTTGGAGCTACTGTTTGTACATCAGAGTTGCTCTGTGTCCCTTGCATTGTTTCTGGACAGGGTAGGACTGCCCCTGAAAGAGGAGATCTTTGGGGTCTTCCTGGATTCAGGGCTCCTGCTGGAAATTCATTGACATGGATGATTGTCAGCGAGTGAATGTTACACCTATTTTGTGTACTTCTGAGTACAGCTTAAAGTGCTGGTTTTAATCTATAAAGCCCTTGTGGCTTGGCATCAGTTTACTTGCAGGACAGCATTTCTCCAATGGAGCTGGCATGATCACCTCAGTCAAGCAGCTGGTTGTCTCCTAGTTTGGGGAAGCCAGAGGGCTGAAACATAGAGGTACTGCATCTTCATAATGGGGCCAGCTGTATAGAATGGTCTCCTTTGGAAGATTTGAATTACTACAACATTATCTAGTTTCCAGACACAGTTGAAAATATAACTTTTCTAGGGGGTGGGGGTGGGTACAATTTTGGTATTTTTAAGCATACTACCTTTTATTATGTATGTTTACTGTTATTATGCCATTGTTTTGTTAACAATATAGGAGCACAATATTGTATTTGCATCCACGTGATGGAATACAAATTTTGACTGTTAATACACTAGTTCATTATTAGAGATTCAACACAATCCCACAGGAGACTATGAGTAACATGTATTGCCAATTACTAATTTTTTTTATAAGGAACAACTGCTTAAAAAAGAGAGAGAAAATTAAAATACAATTAGATAAAATTAATTTAATTTAGATAATATTAAATTCAAAACATGATTTGCCAACTAGAGACATATGTATGAAAACATGTTTCCTTTTGATAATCATCCAAGTCTTCAACAATTTTCCTTTCTCTGACTTTCATGAAAAGATTATTATAAAAGTAAAAGGGTATTTAACTGGGAATGAGGGTTAAAAAGAACTCAGTTATTTGCACAAACTGAAGTGAGAAAGCAATAGTTAACTGTGTAAAAAAGAAACAATTTATGTGAGGCAAGACTCTGTCATAAAAAGCAAGGGATTAGGCACACTGAGTATGAGAATAGGAATGGTGTGTCTGTGTGTCCATAAGTGTATGTGTATGCATATTTTCTGCCTGAAATTCACTTGGGAGGCCACAAACAGATGCAAATCTTTCCTCAGGAGTACGTGGGCTGAACATAAAACACACATATTTGGAATGTCCTGTTTGTTTCTGTTTGTTAGTTCTTTGTAATTGGATACCGCTGAACAAATTAAGATAGGACCAAAAAAAAAAAAAAAAGGAAGAAAACAGAGTGTGCACATTTGTGAGGCAACTTTACAGATGCAATTCAGATATTAGTCCAATTCTCTCATCTGTTTGAGAAGGTCAAGAAAGATGGAATACACATGCTTATATTAATTAAGGGAAGATTTGCACTTGCCAAAAATGTATAACAGACTAAAAGAAATACTTAATGTTATATCCACAAATGCACAACTTAGAACATTTTGAAAGTCATTATTTCAGTTTTAGAATCAAAGAGCTACTTAACAGCAGCCAGTTTGGTCTAGTCTTTAAGGTACCAGGCTAGAAAGCAAGAGATGGTGAGTGTAAGTCCTGTCTTGGCCAAGAAAGTCAGCTGGGTGACTTTGAGTCAGTCACTCTCACTCAGCCCAATTCACCTCACAGGGTGGTTGGCATGAGAAAAATAAAAAGGAGGAAGGTGTGTTCACCACCTTAAATTATTTGTAAAGGTGGAAAATGAATGAAAGCTTTCCTTTGACTCAAGGCAATCCTGTCTTCCCTTTGCCATCTTTTCTTACTATTTATTCTCTCATATGACACTTCTCTCTCTACCCATCACAATTTAACAATTTAAGGTTAAGTTTATTATAATAGATATACAGTATACTTGGCGATACATTAATTTTCTTTTGAGCACACAGATATGACCAAATGGAATCCATTAAAAGTAAATATGACAAATGGGGAAAACCCTCAAACAAACAAATAAACCCTTATAACACATTTCAGACAATAGATTTATAGCCAGGGTTATCAGCCTATACAGACATCAGAGACTGTGCCTTATAAGGTTATAACATTTTACCCAAGCTATCATGGATGCATAGCCCTATCCTACTTCTTAGTATGAGCAAAGGGATATAGAAAGTAGAGAAAATGAATAATTTATCCATCTGAAAAAAGATGGAGAAGATGAACAGAAAACATTGCCCTTTAAAGTTCAAGAAATCAGTTTACTTTGTTGTTACACAGTAGGGACTAGACAGTCTATTTTGGTGACTGATGACCATACAAAGAAATGCCATTAGCTTACCAACATAATATATCAAGAATGATCTTCCTGTCTCATATAGAATTTTGTTCCATTTCAAATAAAGGACAAAATGGAAATGTAACTAAAGCTGGTAGTCGAGGAATAAAGGTTTTTATCTGTTACTTCTGTGATTACTTCAGGAATAAAAATACTTACAACACTGGCATGCTAAGAAAAAGATGTATTGAGGTAATGTCTGAACATGGCATCAGGATAAGCTGACAGACAGCTGAATGATTTCCAAGACACAAACAGATATATACTGTATACCGGTAGCGATGACAATCTTTTTGCTACTGGCTATACAGAATAGAGCTCTGCTGGACATTCTACTGACAGAAATTCTGGTTCTTCCATTTCAACTGTAATTTCTCCTTCAGTCAGAGCATTAGGCAGTTAAGTGCCTTTACCTTCTTTTAAGGCAGAATTCGCTAATCAAGTATGTTCAGAAGAAACTTTCCCATATAACCCCCTATGGAAGCGTTTACTGTGAACTCACAGCATCTGTTAAAAGATTTGTTGTTGATGATGTTGATAGCACCTCACTTACTGTGCGAATGATTCGGAGGCGCTCACATGCTGCCCACATTGCCAATTTTCTGGTGTCAGGTGAATCCTTTTTTAATTTCCAAGATATTTTAATAATCATTGTGGTATTTAAAAGTTGTATAGCTATTTTATTTTTGTGGTTACTTTGGGGTTACTAAAACGTATATTTACTGATTGCCATTACCATTCCAGCTTGATTTTTATTTTGTTTGGGGTGTGGTGTTAAATTTGAATATTGCTTCTATATAGTTTTGCTTGCTTATAACATGTTTTGACTGATTGTAGAGAACTCAAGCAAAAAGCTATTTATGGCCTATTATTGGGCCTTATGTAAACCTTATGTAAAGAAAATAATTAAATAAAATGAATGGAATAGAAGAGAATCTAAGCAAAATAAAAAAATGTGAGAATACAATTAAATGTATTCTGCTGTTCGGTTTTGCAGGTCAAAATCATTCTTCTTGCAGGTAAGTCCTTGCATGCTTCATTATCTTCTCCAAATGAATGCACCCTTTATATGCAACTGAAGATGTGACATTTGGAGGGCAACAAGTTGAGGGAAGCTGATATATGAATGAAATAACTTGGCATTTTTGCAAGCATCTGATTCTGTTTGATTTATTATCATGAATCAAATCTTTATTACAGTCATAGACCAGCATATTATCATCATGTAAACAAATTGAGCTCTTATGAAAGAATATTAGAATCCTTTGCTTTTTGCTACATATTTCTTTTGCCTTTCTTATCAACCTCATAGATCAGGGCTTGAAATTCCTGACAGGTCTTTATTCTGCACTTTCAATCATGGTGACTAGTTATATTCATGAGATCAGCGCATGAGAAATTTGGGCTACTGACTATCTTTTTCCTTATCCCAGGTTTCTGTATTCTTCCATTTGTTCCTCCATTTCTCATTTTCTTTATTTTTGTATTCTATCCAGTTACAGTGACCTATAACTGTAACTGTGTGGTACTGAATATGCTTTGAAATGTTGTTCTCACCTGCCACATGCAAAATAACCAAATAATGTTTTTAACATCCAGTACGATCTCACAGATTACAGATTAAGTTTTATATACAAATTATTTATATTTATATATATCAGCATCTCCCAATGGGCAGCAGGGAGCTTGCTGGCTGCTGGAGAAAAAAAGCCTAGAAACTAGTGGATTGGAATTTCACTGAACTAGGGCTGCAGAAAAATCTTGGTTTACGTAGAAAGAACCTGGCTAAAGAGAAATACATACATACATACATACATACTTCTTTTTTTGTAGGTCTATATGTGCATTACTGTTCTAGCCAGGGTTTTTCCTACATAAATCAAGATGTTTATATAGCCATAATTAAGTGACATCCCAAATCACTATTTTCTAGGCTTTATCAGACATTTAAGCAACATTATGCTGTTGGTTGTAAGACTTAAGGGAGACTAAAATAGATCTATTTCTGGCTTATTTGCCTTCATCAGTTAGCCACACCCTCATTTTATGACTCCTCCCTGTAACGGTCAAATATTTATTTTGTTTTGTGTGTGTGTGTGTGTGTGTGTGTGTGTGCGCGTGCGCGCACACACACACACACACACACACACACACACACACACACTACTCAAGGAACTTTGTTTGTAGTCCAGGAAAATATAATTAGACCAAAAAGAAAATAATGTTTCATCTTTCCTTGTATCAGAACTTATTGTTTTGTAAATTTATATAGCTGCCCATCTCACATACATGACTCTGAGCAAAAGATACATACCACAATCAGCCTGAAAGTACATATAAAATCAAAATTATAATTTTGTAGTTTTGCAAATAGACTTATATAAGTTATTACTCTCAAACATTTTTGCTGGCCCTATATACTAGTGTAATTTGCAGTATATCCATAACCTGAAATGGGACCAGGTAGAATAAAAACAATACAGCACAATGAAATACCTAAGTCTAATATTAAAAATAAGTCATTTTTTTTAAAAAAAAATAGCTTTTAAAAATGTTCTTTGAGTATGCCACTATGTCTTTAGTAAAATGGGAATCCCAGAATATCTTATTCTTATGCAAAACCTATGCACAAGATATAAAACCACAGTCCAATAGAATACTACAAAATAAACTGGCTACAATTGAATAAAGGAGTAGGATAAGATGCATCTTCTCTCCTTAATATGATGAGCATATAAATATGGAAGTTAGAATAGAAGATGAGCATGGTTTTAAAACTGGAGGTATAAACATTAATAACCTGTCCCATGCCTATAACACTGAAACGGCATAGATCAGTGATGGTGAACCTTTTCGGTACCGAGTGCCCAAACTGGAACATGTGTGCATATGTGCACGACGGAATGCTGGAAACTCAAAGACCAGCTGGCCGGCATCCGCATACCTGTTTTTTGGCTGTTTTTAGGCCATTTTTCTGGCTGTTTTCAGGCTGTTTTTCGGGCCGTTTTTCAGAAACCAGAAGAGCAGTTGGCAATAGTGCGTGTGCTCACAGAGCGGGCTCTGGGTGCCACCTCTGGCACGCGTGCCATAGGTTCTCTATCACGGGCATAGATAGTTGAAACTGCAAAACTTTAGTAATGAAACTCAAGGAGAACAGTGAAAAACGAGACTAACATTAAAAATGGTAATAATTGAACTAATGACAACAGATACAGCTGAGTATCTGTTGTCGTAGCAATGAAGATATTAAAAGGGTGGATAGTTTCTGATTTTTAGGATTGACTATCAGCCATTAAAGAACCAGCACTAAAGAAATACAATGCATAATAGCACTTGGTAGGGTAAGAATCAAGACTTTGAAAACAATATTCAGCTGGTCTGACATTTTAATTTATACAAGGATCCAAATCTTCAGACAATGTTTTTTCCCCCATAACACTTAAACTGGACTTAAGAAACAAGATAGAAAGACAATGTTTTTGAACTTCAGAGTTGGAGAAGATTCTTGAGAATACTTTAATCAGTCAAGAAAACAAAACGATCATTGAACAAATCAACCCCAAATTCTCAATGTACAAATAATGAAGCTCAAATAATACTCCAATCATTTTGGATATATTATATGAAGACTTAGCTGTCTGAAGTCTATAACATTAGGAAAGATAGAAAGCAAAAGGAAGAGAAAAACCAGCAGCAGAGTGGATGAACTTGATTACAGAATGAGGGATGTACTGTTGGAAGACTGGAGACACATCATCCTGGAAAGGATCTCTGTAGTCAGCATCAGTCAACACCAATTAGATGGCATTGTGAAAAAACATTTATCATTCATCAATATATGCACAATTAATAACACCAGAGATCATGCACTAGATATCACTTGTGTTTTCTTGAACATCATCCAGATACACTTATAGGATGATATATAAATTACATTGTTTTATTTTTTAATGTAAACAGGTATTCTGTATGTGTGCATAGTTTTTATTCAATAAATCTATCTTCTGGCCTTTGGTGTTTGTGTAATCTTATTATTCATTTGAGTGGGGTGGGCATTATAGAAATGTGATAAACAAGCAAACAAACAAACAAACAAACAAACAAACAAACACATTTTCCATTACTGCAGAAAATTACACTATCGGTCACCTGTGTGAATAAAGTTATTTTCCAAACACATCAGTTTATTGTACATCCACTAACATGTGTAACCTTTGTAAAGAGGTTCTTCACAGAAACATGCATACATATTTATATGCATTTAAGTATATAGGGATGAACAGACTACACTTAGCAACACTGGGAATCTGCATCTCCAGGTTTTTGAATATGCTCTGGAATGTGCATATTGTAACTCACATTTGTACAAGAGCAGAAGGAAAAAAACAACACATACGGGATTCAATAGGATAGTAGCTTCATTTTCTAGTCCTCATACAAATTATATAGTGTCACCTTGAGTTGTGAAGTTTATTGCTCTCTGAGTGCATTTTATAAGGCTACTGGGTATAATGCAATCTAATTATATTGGTAATAGATGCCATGAAACAAGAGCCTGTGACATAACAGCAGTTGCTAAATTGTTTTAGTTTCTTTCTCTTCATCCAGCATTAACATTTCTGCTGTGCTAGAAATCTGCAAGTTCCTTTATTAAACATTCCTGCAGCTGCTATACTATAGTAAAACATACCAATGAGACATAAGACTGTTTAGTGCAGTACAAAAAATAGTCTTTTAGAAATTACTCACGAATTCCTTCCATCTTGTCTCAATCCAAGCCTTGCCAAAATAATTTTTAATTAATTTGTGTTCTGTTTAAACCAGGGAATAGCTGGATTCTTGATTTCTATGAAAAAGGACATTCCCATTTACAGATTTCTAACTAAAGATTTTTTATCTTATGGAATCTCCTACCTATATTGCAGAATCACGAATCACTAATTTAGGGAGACAACCCATCCTATATAAGTACTGCATAAGGATATTCAGAGACTGTGAGTTCTAGTTTTCCATTAAGTATGAAAGTCAGCTGGGTGATTTTGAGCCATTCTCTTGCAGCCCAACTCACCTCCCAGGAGTGTTATTGTGGGAGGAAAATTGGAAGGGAGCATTAGGTGTACTATTTTGAGATGTACAACATAAAGGAGAGATATAAATCTAATCTAATCCAATGGGATGAATGGGATCTGTTTTTCAAACAGATATAGAAAAAATAGTAAACTTAGTAAAATAGTAAACTTAATTAATTCTCTGTGTGTCTATTCAAGGATGGTTCTTTCTTCGGGGTCATTTACCTTCACTCATATACCCATCCATGCAACTCCTTATAGAAACACACTGATTACTCTCTTAATTCACATATAATTTGGAGCCTACAAGAAGCACCTTGCAAACAGATCAGAAATGAGAAAACAAATTATTTTGGCCAGCAAGAAAACTCAGAAAGAAAACATGCACTGTAGCTACAGCAGTGATTCAATTCTGAATGACATCCACAAGAGTTTAGGCCTTTTCTAGAAGCACCGTGAGCTGATAACTGAATACTTGAAAAGGAAAAGCAGCAAATGATATTAAGGGAGTTAACTATTAAGGAATAGTTGAACTTCTTTTAATTTCACAGAATCATTTTAATTTTAAATGTAGTGGTTAAGGAGCTGATGTAGAAACCAGAAGTCTGTGACTTCTAATCCTTCCTTAGGCACAAAAACCAGCTGGTTGACTTTGGGCCAGTCACTCTCTCTCAGTCCAATCCACCTCACAGGGTTGTTGTTGTGGGAAAAACAAAAGGAGGAAGAAGCACTATTATGTTTGCTGCTTTAACTTACTTATAAAGTAATAAAGGTGGGATAAAAATCGAATAAATAAATAAAATAAAATTTACTTGGAACATCTTGAGCAGAGAAAAACTATTCAAATAAAATATTTAGTGAAAAAAATTCAAGAACTTAACACTTCTGCTTCAGTATACTGGTGAATGTTGCAATGGTGATTTAAAAAAATAAATGTGTTTCTTCATTCA